CTCATTGAGGCTTGTGAGACCCTGTGATTCCCGATCTTATTCTTTAGTTGTGCTGTTCACAGACTCTTGGTTTCCCTAGGTTCTCAAGGCCATTGTAGGTCATTCCTAGAGCTCTGCTTCTGTATCCTGAAAAGCAATTATGACCAGCTTTGAGGAACAGAGAACTTGCCATTTTACAACTAGATTTCACTAATTAAATATCATGTCTCCTTGGTGGCTCCCAGAAAGTTTCGGTTCCATTTGAGAAGTTTATTAGCTTGGCCACTGTTGTGCTTCTCTATATTTCTACTGATGTTTCATTGATAGCTCTCATTAGCCAGGGTGGTAATCAATGGGAGCTGTGCAGCATGGCCTTTTCTTCCTGTGCTCATCCTGGCCTTTGGTTTCATTAAAGGAATCCCAATGATTCCCTCTTTAGGTTTTGCTTTTGTTTTATGTAAACAACCTCTTCTTATTGACGTTGAAATCCATTACAAGATGATGTTCGAATTCCTTTTGACCCAACTAACTCATAGATTAAACTTGATCCAGAATGCTCTGTAGGTTTTCTTAAGAATTTTATTAGTTTCCCATTGAAAAAGTTAAGTTTTCATGTTTCTATAGGCTCAATTGTCAAGAATATGACCTCTAGATTCATGAAGTTAGAATGATATATTTTAGACAGAATCCATACTGTTTTACATTTTTTAAAGACTTGCCAACTTACTTTGTGAGTAAGGAATAGCAATGATGTTCCTGTTTTCTTTGAACGAGCTACACAACGCAGCACAACGCTATCATGTGTATTTCTTATAGCAACCTCTGATTTCACAGAAACATGAGAGTTTGATGAGGTCCTATTTGTGTATTTCAGCTTTGTTTTCTGTGCTTTGAGGGTCTTGTTAAAATGTTCCTAGACCATCCCAGTGTCTTGAAGCATTTTTTCCTATATTTTCTTTGATTAGTTTCATAGTTTCCGGTCTGACATTTAAGTCTTTAAAAAATTTTGAGTTGGTTTTTATAAATGCAGAATATGGTTTAGTTTTAATTTTATAAACATTTAATAAACAGTTTTATTGGCTTTGCCAAGACTCTTTCTCGCCTTTTATTTTACCACATGCACCCTCTGCAGTGTTGATGTTGTGGCATGTGCTGTTATGTATACATAATAAATGAAATAAATACTCAGCAGTGCCCTTTTCCTTCAGGCAATGATTAGATATGTGCATTTGATAAAGTTTAAGATTTAAAAACCTCTAAAAGAAAGCAGAAATTAGCCTTTTATGTGAATACCTTGATTTCTGGAGCAAGATTCTACGACTGTCCATTTTATCAGGCACACAGACACACACACCTACACCACACACACAAACACACACGCACGCATGCATGCACACATTAACGCACACACACACGCACACTCATCCTTAAAATGACTCTAACAGAATATAAGTAGAATATTGGTTTTTTCTTTTTGCCACAGAGTCTCAATGTGTAGACCTGACTGGAGCTGGAACTCACTCTGTTGACCAGATTGGTCTCAAACCCAGAAATCCAATTGCCTCTGCCACCCAAGTGCTGGGATTAAAGAGGTGTCCCACCCTACCTGGCAATATCGTTTTTAGATTATTCTGCTATCATTTGATCGTAGCTTCCCAGAATTTGCTTTTCTTTCTCACATCTCCCCCAATTGTGTTGTAACTCTACATTCACTTCATGATTTTGTCCTAATTCATGCTGCAACATGCATTACCATCATATTTATGGTAATATGTATTCTGTAGAATTGTAACCTTTATAGGAAATACAAATAGAAAACAATCTTAAATTTCTTCCATGGTAAAGCAAAATAACTTAGTAAAGTCTGCAAGAGAATATAAACAGGTGGACCTCAAGAATAGTTTTATTACCACCCTGCAATTGCTAGCTGTGTAGTAGCTTTAAAAATTATATATCGGGTGTGTTTCTGTGCACATTTGATACAAACCTGAAATCATTTCCTTATAGCTTTTCAGAGTTGCAATATCTTTATCCACAAGAATACCAGGTTTGGAAGACACATGAAGGTTTCAATGTCAGTTCTATTTACTGTGTTAAGATCTTCAACAATTGATTCCAACTTACTCGATATCCATTTAATATAAAACTGAAGACAATTATATATGCATAGTGTAGATTTATTTGTAAATGTTGTCTATGAGAAATTGAATCAATTTAAACTTCCACTACCCCCAGAAAAGCTAGGAGAAGAAATTACAATGTTTGCTTACACAGAAGAATTTAGGGAGCCAGGGTAAAGCATGCAAGGCCAAGAATGCACCCTTGCTGGTCAAATGCTGATCTTACCTGCTGCCCTCTGGCTGCTGCTTGTTTGCAGGATGTGAGAACATACTTCAATGAGTGTGTTGTCATTTCTCTCAGATGTTTCTGGCCTTCTAAATGTAAAGTATTCTGGGAGCAAGGCTGTGTGAGATCCTTAGTGCAGCTCTCTGCCCTTGAGGCCTGGACCTGCCCCCGCTGTCATCATTTTCTTTCTTTGACCCCCATAAGCAATTTTGAACTGTTAGGCATATCTTTGTAGGACTCTTTGACTTCCAGTTATTTCCAGATGTTATTGCCTAAAGCAACTTCATGTCACTCACTTCCCCTCCAAACTGGCTCAAAATAACATCCCCTTTCCCAGGTTGAGATGTCAGCGTCTCCTTTCCAAGTTACCAGTGCTTGAGAATTACAAGACACACATTGGCAGCTGTCTTCTGAAAGCTGCATAACCTTTCTAAAATCCGTATCTATGTACATTGTAATAATCATCAATTTCCATACATTTTTCCTTATATTACACCAAATAAAATAATTTTTAATTATTGACAAGGCTACTGAATAAGGAATCTCATTTTTTTGTTTTATTTGAACTAATAAGTCTCATTAAGCTAGATCATTAAGCTAAAGTTTGCCCAGCATTGCAGTTCTTATCCTAGGATAGACACTGCCCAGACATGGAAGGTCAAACCTAATGCATGCAGAGAGCACTAATCCAGTTCCCAATTTATACTCGGTGGTTATGTTCTTACAGACTTAAAATTTAGCAGGTTCTTATGATCCACTCTTTCTCTAAAAACTACTCTTCTGATCAACCTTTCAATGATAAAGAACACTAGGTCTTCCTCTGTGTATTGCTGCCTTCTCCTGGTAATTCCCACATCAGCACCAACAACAGAACACAGTATGTTCTTTCACATTTTATATGACGTTTAGAAAATGCAGTCACATTTTCACTGGTCTTTTTCAAATAAGTAGATCAACTCAGATCACATCTTCTTCAGTTAGCTAATATCTATTTCATTTTTGTTAGCTGCACAGGGAATTTGGGGATTGGGGAATTAAAAGAAAGGAGACACAAAAATGCATAATACATTCTTTTTCTATATCTCAGTAAGGCAAATTAAATGTTGTTTACCCAAGTTATGTTAAGACTTTTGTGCTGATTAGTTTTTGTCAACTTGACACAAACACAAACTAGAGTCGACTGGGCAGAAGACTCCTCAACTGAAAAATTGTTTCCATCAGACTGGCTTTACTGTTAACTCGACTGCCAGGTTTTTTTTTTTTTTTTTTTTTTTTTTTTTGATTGTTAATTGATGAAGGAGGGCCCAGCTGACTATGTGCAGTGTATCCAGGGTAGGTATGTCTGGTCTTATAAGAGAAGGGGAGGACCAGAAAGGAAAAGAAAAGGAGGTGCTGGAAGGAAGAGAGTTTTATAAAATGAAGTTGCTAGAGTTGAGGTCCTTGAGACTCTCTATAAATCCTAGGAAAACTGGAATTGAATCTTACTTTTTAAAGTCCCTTGGATATTTTATGACCAATTAAGTATTCCTAGGAGAAGAAGAGGAAAAGAATTTTCCTTCAAAGAAAGTTAATCGATAATCTAGCAGAATCATAAGAAATCCTTTAGAAACTTTCTCTAGTTAAACTTTCTAAACTACATTTTTTCTCATTTGAACTGGGTGAGAAGTGTAATTAAAATGCCCAGAGAGAATGTAACCATGTGAGTACAGAACTCCCAAGCAGCAGCAGGCACACAGTACCTCTCTTGTGAGAACTAACTCAAAGATCTCTTCACTGTTACCTGGCATGTTTGGGAATGAGAAGACAAAGTGAGTTATATCAGTTAACCAGGAATGAGTACATTTGCCTTTAAAATGTGAACTGTCAAACTTCCTTCAGGCAGTACCTCCCTTATTTGCCACAGGGTTGAATTAGTGCTATTGTGTTTGTACTTTCCTTGATTCTTAAATGTGCCAGGTTCCTGAAGAGAACAAAAAAACACACATGCCAGAGTGGTGGTGGGTATGATCATGATACATCATATACATGTATGAAATTTTATTCATTTTTAAAATTTTTATTATTTTTATTTTATATGTCTTTGTGTATTGCCTGCATGTAGGTAAGTGCACCATGTCATGCAATACCAGTGGAGGTCAGAAGAGACTGTTGGATGCCCTGGGATTGGAGTTACAGACAGTTGTTAGCTGCCATGTGTGTGCTGGGATTCAAACCCAGGTCTTCTGCAAGAACAACCAGTGTTCCTAACTGCTGAGTCATCTCTCCAGCCCCCATACATGTGTGAAATTTTAAAAGAAGAAATTAAAATTATTTTTAAAAGAAACACAAAAGTGTAATCTGAAATCAGATTGACAAAATCACAGTGATTTAGTTATCAAAACCCTAACGAGAACACAGCATAAGCTTTTGGTCTTGGATTTAAGCAACTTCTATCTCTAATATTAAATTGTAGTTATGACTCAGTGTCTCCTGGGCTAGAAGAAATGATGTCTCAGGTGAATGGTTGTGAACTGAAAACCAAACTGTAAATGTTTAAACTGCTTTGAAAAATACCAGCATAGTGAAGTATACCCAACAGTGAATTATACACCAATCAAATGCTAGTAAATGGGACACATAAACCTAGGAACACATGACTTAAAACCGTTCTGACTATTTTTATTTTCACTTTGCAGGAAAAAGTCCAGCACGTACAGAAGGCTTTTGCTACAAAAGTAGATAAATCCACACAGACTGAACTTCTAGGCTGTGATGTAAGTAACTACATAAAACCTTTTTTATCTTCTTTATTGGTCTTCGGATATCAATTGCTTATTTACCTAAGCTGCTGTGTCCTGTGTTGATTTTTCAGAATTTAGAGGTGCACCATTCATCTCTAGTTCTCAAGCCCCTTGTAGAAATGAAAAAGATAATTACAGGCACCAAGTAGCATACCAATGTCTAATTAATTTTTTTAAACCAACATCTGTAATACGTTTTGCTGAGCTAGTGAATTTGCAGACATATCTGAGATATACATACAAATACTAGGGTGATTTGTTTTTAAGAAAATGCTAATTTATTTATTAACAATTTAATAAAGTTATTATGTTTTTAATCACCTAAAGCCAAACATTATTTTTGCATGCAGGCATATAGAAAGAAATACAACTTTGCAGACAATTTTACAATAATATTTTAGCTCTTGGGCTTCAGTGCCCCAGCATGAAGTAATTTAATTGAAAGTATTTTTTCTTAGTGTAAAATACTTGCTGAACTATCAAAATAGGATTGTAAAACATATTTTAACACAGTATTTCCTCTAGTAACCCTATGTGATTTTGTAAAACCATTATAAATACCCATCTTCTCTTAAACAGAGCTATGAAATTTGCATCTTGCCTAGGTGCATAACTTTAAACTTTCCTTTTTGAAAAGTAAAGAAATTTTCTTATTCAATTCTATCTAACTCTTGAGAGAACCTATTCTTAAACTTAAAAATATTGACTTCATATAATCTTGAACTTTAGGATGATATTTACTATAATGTTAAAATATGTTTCTATGTATATTCTATACATTAGTTAATATAAATATAGATGTCAGACTTCTGTTGGCATGTAAACTATATTATTATTTTTAATATAGTACTGCTTGTGTATATTAGGAAATAAACCAAAGTTTTGAATTCTAGCATAAGTTGTTTTAATATCTTTGCACTTTAATTTAAAAAGCAGAAAATATTATGCCTCCCTTTGGAATTTTTCTACCACATTCATTTTAATGTTTTCTTTTAGATGTCTAAATAGTTAGAGATATTTATGTTATTACAGTAATATTTCTTATAATCCAGCGTTTTATGTCATTTACATGGTGTCAATTTTTATTTTAAAAGGAAACAATTTTATAAAGTTCTAAGAGAATTTAGCACAAGTAATTCATTGTTTATCTCTTTTAAATAACTTTATTTTCAAATGACTTTCAAACTTACGTATGCATCAGTCTTTAGGATATAAATTCAGTATGTATTTTCAAAGTAATTACCTATGTATTTTCTAAGTCTGCAAGTCAGAGAGAATAATAAAAGCCTGGTTTCCATTAAGTTGTATTCCAGTATATATTGATCATACAATGCCTATACTACAGGGTAACAAAGACTCCACCTGCTTCAAAGCATTGAATTTTTAAACTATGTTATCTGAATTCCAGAAATATGAAAACGTTTGTTTATTGTCACATAATCTTTATGGGTGCCTCTTCTTTTAGTAAAAGTAATGTATTCTTAATACAAAGACAAAGAAAAATATTTATACATTTAGATTCAAATATGCTATCTCATTCAATTTTAGGAAGCAATATTTGAGAATATGAATTCTTTTTTTTTTTTTTTAAATTGGTCTTTTTGAGACAGGGTCTCTCTGTAGCCCCAGCTGGCCTGGAACTCTCACAAACCCACATGCCTCTGCCTCTGGAGAGCTGCGATTAAAGGCCTTTGTCACCATGCCCAGGGGGAACCTGAATTCTTACTGTCTCAATGTTGAACATAAAGTATAAGACTTTTAAGTAACACTGTCAGGTTGATTTACTCCAGAATATAATCTTCAGAATCAGCAAACTAGGGACTAAATGCATAGAAACTTAAAATGGTAACTAGATTTAACTATACTATGTGAAAAACTGGAGCGTGAGATATTATAAATTTTGGAAGTAAGCAAAATGCTTTAAGAGTGATGAATTGCATGATAACTAGGAAGCATGTGATTCATTTTCAATGTGTCCAGGACCAGGTGATATAGTCTTAAATATTTATTTGTAAAAAACCTAATATTGTCAAATGAACATGTGTTCAATGTCTTTGTGTTCACAATGTTTCTGGATATGGAGTTTTATATTTTAATTTATATATTACATCTATGAATAATTTTAATAGAGTGTATCAGAAAATAAAGAAAAACCTTGCAGAAGTCTTGTCCAGCATGTTTGGCTCTTACATTTTGCTCCCTACTTTTTGAAGCTGTCAATATTAGACTCCAGTTGCTCTTTACAGATCAATTGGGGTTATGTTTCTGAGGTGTAAATTTCAGATCACAGGAGGCCACAACTCAGCATTAACATACAAGAGATGACTTTTGGTATACATGGTACATTAAAAAAAAAGAGTTAAAACCCATATTTTCAAAAAGGCTACAGTGAACAAATGTAATTTTTTTTTATCATAAACTACCACACTGGAATAGACTTATCTGGACTATTGAAACCAATATTCCTGTAAATGTGCTCTGACCTCTAAGGACAGGCCAAAATCTTTTTTTTAATGTGAATTCATAGTGTTTCAGCCTAGATGTAAAATTACAACACTTTTTGAGGTAAAGATTATAAAATAAATGATGATTGTGTCTTACATAACCAATGCCAATTTAACCTAATTTACCATCTTCTGCCTGCATAGTCTTATTTTATTGAAAGATCAAAGAATAATTTCTTAGGTGTCACCTGTGTTATTAAAATAGGATAGAAGATGAATAGATAGAGCCAAGCATCAGTGCTTCTCCTTAGAAGATTGCATTAACAGGTAGAGATCTTTTCTGACTTCATCAACCACATAACGAATACCACCACGCAGCACATATATTATCTGTTTTAAAGCTTGACATCCAGTGCAAATAATATTGTGATCAAAATGTTTAGGAGTAGAAAATACACAAAATACTATAGGATAGGTCTTAAATATTAACAATGAGAAAATTTGAGTTTTTCATTGACTGTCTTACAATTTTAATTCAGTTATGCTCTGTAAAAGGTTTTTGTAAATAAATGTCACTGAGTTTTAACTGTAAATTTTCCTTTCAATTAATGTATGAATTGAATTCAAAATAATCACAAAAATGTGTCTCTTAAAGCCAGAAATCCTAGAATTTTAAGTAGGGAAATTCTTACATTCATTTGCATGTGTTTTAACTGTTTACATAATAAGTGTTTATTAGTCTTGAACTTGAAAGATTTTTTCACATTTTTCACAGTTTTGAAATTATCAGACATTTCCTCAAATATTAAATTATTGTAATCAGTGTAAATTTTATTAATGGTTTTCATTTGACATTTTAAATTTTGTAAAACTGTGGCATCACCACATACTTTTATTGCAATCAGGTATAAAAGCAGAATGGTAGTTACATTGTGGCTTTCTACTATTTTAACTTACTTTTTAAAGGAAATGCATTTTGTAAAAGCAGTTGCTACTTAAATCTAGGAAAATAATGACAAAATATACACTATTCATATACACATTGAGGAAGCTTCTTGCTACAATTGTGTGTAGTTTGAAACCAGTTGTTTCATGAGATTTAACTTTGTAGGTGCTCCTGACAGTCAGTGTACAAAGAGTTTTAGACACATGAGAAGAATTTGTCACATCTTATTCAGGTATGAGAATGAGTAGCTATTGCTGTAATTGTTTTATCAGCTATTTTTTAGAGAAGGAAAGGTTTTGTACCACACTGATATATTATCTCAGTTGAATAGTTATCAATTAAGCTTTCTCACTCAGCTATGAATAGCTTGTTCTTTATTAAAGCTGCCTGTCTAAGCTCCATCACTTCCACTGCCTTTCTTAGTCAGAATATCTGATCCTGTGTGCTTCTGAGCTAGCACTTACTGGAAAAATAAATGTCTGCCTCCAAATGTGTCTTTTATCAATAGTCACACAACTCAGATGTTTCTCTTTACATCTCTTTACATCTCTTTATGTACATTAAAACAAGTACATAAAAACAGTTATGTACTTTATTTTCTTTGGGGCTATCATTTTTCATATTGTATTAAAGAAAAATTTCAGATAAGAACAACGATTTAAAACACCAACAGGAAATGTGACTTTGCCAGTAGTGCCTGTCACATGTAGTAGAGGAGGATTGTGGTGTCCAGCACCGGTGTTCTCACTATTTCACTTCTGACAGATGAGATTTCCCTCGAACCTTTAACCAAAATGCCTCAAAGTGGGGTGCACTTCCTTAATTTGCATATTGGAAATCAGCATTATAAATATTATGCAGGACACCAGAAGGTGCTAAGTACAATGGAAAAGTAATCAATGGTGCTGGCTGTGCATGGGCTGACAGCCTGGACTGTGACAGAAGTTGTAACGGGGAGCCTGGGGCACAAAGAGTTGAGATGTAAGTTTTGGAAGTGAAGAGAAAAACAAGTTTTTAAAAAAAAAAAATATTGAGAATTTCATACATGCACATAAGGTGTTTTGATCAAATCCATGCCCACTCCCTCCCCTCCTACTCTTCCCATATCTCCCCATCACCTTTGTTCTGGTAATTTCGTGTACTCTTTCTTCTTCTTTGATTGATTGATTAATTGATTGATATTTATTTGTTTTTTATGGGGCTTTTGGCTACTCCTAACATTCCCCCCTCTGAAGATGTACCCCTAAAATCTTTTAAGGATTAGATGCAAGCTCCCAAATACTTTTGACAGTTTTGACTTTTAGAACAGAGTATGTTTCTAAGAGACCCAAGAACATGTTTTAGCTAAGACGCTGTCTACTTTTCTTTGGGGTCTTTTTACCCTAATTGCCTAGCCAGTTCCTACTTCCTATTCTTATCACACCATCCTCTGAAGAGGTTACCCAAATTGCCAATAGGAAATGGGGACTGAACTTCTTCCATGCTGAACAGGAATGCAGGGTGAGACAATTGGAGTACCCTTCAGTGGGTCTATATAAAAGACTCCCAAATTGCATGACTCATATCTATAATGTGAAAAGAAA